CTCTTGATTTGGATCGGTTCTTTGACTTCCCACAAGCTCCGGATCTACCATAGTTGCTCGAACTCTTTTGATAACTCCTGCCTCTACCTTCTGTGATGAGAGCCTGCCCTTGATTTTCAGGTTTCTTTCTCATCTTTTCATTGAGTAGAAGAGCCGATGTGATATCTTTCAACTCAATAGTAGTCTTACCGTGCAGGATGGTTGTTGCCAAATTATCGTACGAAGATGGCAACGAGTTCAATAGCAAGATGACTTTATCTTCTTCCTCGATTTTTACTCCGAGGTTGGCAAGCTGTGTGATTAGTCCGTTAAATACATTTAAATATGACAAAAAATTCGTACCTTCACCCATGTGTAGGGCGTATAACTACTTCTTCAGGTACAATTTATTTGTCAACGTTTTGGACATGTATAGGCTTTCCAACCTTGTCCAAATTCCACGTGCAGTGTCTTCATTAATGATATTATTTACCACATCATCTGATAAGTGCAACCTGAATGCACTATCATCTCTTTCATCCAAGTCAGCCCAATCCTCAGCTTTATAGTATCAGGCTTTTTGGCATCAGCATCTAGTGCCTTATGTAATCCTTGTTGGATGAGCAGATCCCTCATCCTTCTTTGTCATGTTGAGAAACCGTTATCCCCGTTGAATTTTGCTACCTCGTACTTTACTCCGGACAATTTTATTTTTCACCGATTATAGTACAACCGGCAGTAAATAGTATTTCAGTGAACGAGCAGAACATGTGCTCTGATACCAGTTGTTGGGAATAAACCCCCTACAAAAATAATATTCATGATAATAAAAGCGGAATAATAACTTAGCACCGAGATACGGTAATTAACAAGAATAAAAGAGTAACAACGACACCAAGATTTTTACGTGGAAAACCCTTTTGAATAAGGGAAAAACCACGGCCCTGAGGAGAGCAATTGATATCACTATAGCAATGAATTTTACACTTTGTAGGTCCGAGTAAAATACTCAAAAGACCACTACAATACTCAAAAGAAATGACCCTCTTTTGATATTCCCACCTCACTACAATATCACTCACTCTTTATTTTTCTCACAGACTATTTTCTTATACCCTGTCTGTGAAACCTCACTCTTTCTTTCTAACTCTCAGATATATTTTTCCTCTGATATTGGTGTGTCAAAATGAGAGCCGAAGCTCTCCTTTTATAGGCAAAGTCTCGCCTACTACATTTGATATTTCCTTCTGCAAGCCTGCCGATTTTGATACAAACAACAAAAGAAACGTGGGCTGCTAATCAAGGAAGAAATTTTCTTCCTTGATTTATGAGATGGACCCCACAAAATATCCTTTCATGTGATTATGTAGTTTAATTTTTGCTGTGGCTTTCGAGTATTTTAATAACTTTATTTGTCACTCCTTTTTCCTTTGTCAAGAGATCTAAAAGGGATTCCTTTGAGTCACTTTCCTCACATTCTATGACTCTGAAAAATTCTTTTGATAAATTCATGATAATTTGGCGAATTAGGAGACCGATGCAGGTTTGGTATTATTTTCCTTTTCATTGTTCATTAGATAGGTATTCTTGTATCCATCTTTTTTATTTTCTCTATATTTGTATCAAAATTTCCAACTATGATCTTTTTTGACTGGCCAAAATAAATCATCTCTTTTTTATAGTTTTGAGTCCGCTGTAAAATAACAGCATCGACAGTTGATGGATTAGCCATTGACCGAATCCAGAAGATGTTTTCGAGAGGGCTATTTGCTGTTTCTCAACACCTGCAACAAACTTCTTTTAGAGGATGATGTATCCTAAGTGAAACAACAAAAGTCACAAAGGTCCTTTTAAAGCCCATAAGGAATAGAGTGCTTTGCTTTGGTAGTCACCTTCAAAAATTTTCCTTCAGAGTTGTGACTTATTTTTTGGTACATTCAAACTTTCAAAGTTGTCAAATTTTTTTTTGTGCTTCACAGTTGTGAATTGCTTGATAGCGGGGCACCAAGTCATTGAAGTTGCCAGGAAAACAAATTTGTTTGGCACTGATAAAAAAAAGTTGCCTGGCACCAAGTCATTGAAGATAAATGAAATTCACAAATGACGTCTTTTGGATAAATGATCCAAACCTACAAGCAATTACACCTTCAATTATATGTATATTTTATTTGTTCTTTATATTCCCTTAATACTCATGACGTTCCAAAAGAATGTGATTTTCAATTACGAATTCTTATAGTTATTACTTCTAGCAATTATACAAATGTATTAGTAATTCTATTATGGTTTCTGAACAGGAGGGTTAAATTCTGCTCTTACAATTAAATACAGAGTAAAAAAAACTTCATGTAAGTCTTCAAAAAGGACAATAGACATTTGTTGCCGATGCTCGATACATTCAAAACCTTACAATTAACATCTCATGTGGGGAGAGATTCATGATATCTTGGGCAAAAACGATGTTGTTAGGCAGATCCAAGCACTCCTCTCAGAGAGGTACAAGTTTGCAAGTAACTTGCATGCCCATGGAAAGCATGGGCTACCATAATATTCATGCAAGGGCGCAGTTGCTGCGCGAAGGCCGGTCTTACGAGCATATTAATTGGGTGACTACATAGGCTAGAAGGACGGATGTTATGGCAGGGTGAATCATATACGAAGACGGGTAATGTGATGCAATTATTGGGCTACCATAATATTCATGGAGAGCAAATTAATTGGGAGGTTGAAACAACTGGGTAAGAAGGTTAAAGAAAAGGTCATTCACTCTTTTCTCTGCCTTCAGTTAATGTCTTTTTCAGTTGTTTCATTCAAAATTTATCCTACTTTTCCTATCACACCTACTTCGAAACTCATTTATACATGTGATTTGTTTATGCTAGAGAAGTATCTACAATGTTTGTAGGAATATATGAGAATGAGACAATATAAACATATTTTATTTTTGTAAATGTAATGCATATAGATGCATTAATTTAAATGATATTTGTTGTTTTAATATTTCATACATGTTTTATTGTTCTTCTATTGAGTGTGATATTGCTATACCCTTTTTTTTGTGTGTCAAAACTCATTGACTGACATAAAAAAAAATATAAAATGGTATTTGTTTTGTTTATTTCATATACAAGGTATGTACTCTCCAAAAACAACACTTCAATACACAAGTTTTAAAATTTGTGATGCAAGCAGTGACAAGAGGATGTGTTCTCCCTAATGATTTTTTTGTTGCTAATCTGGAAGTGTATTTCATCTATATAATTTTTCATCTTCGTAATCATTAGACAACTAATAATAATTTAAATATTTTTATGTACGTTATTAGTAGTTTTAAGATGAATTTTATGTAATTTCAGTGTTAACCTCTTTTCTTATTGTTAATATTCCTTGAATCTGTCTTAACTCGATATAACTTAAATAAATTTCATTAGTAATATATGATTAACTACAAATTATAGAGAAGCATATGTTCTAACTAAATTAAAATTACGATTAACTCAAATATGTTTTATTTATATGAGTGTATTCTTCTCATTATAAAGAGATAATATCTAAATCCATATAAGCATACTAATCTTTTTAAATATTTGCTTGCATTAATTTTTTTATGATCTCGTGAAGTGCGAACAAATTTACTCGTATGTTAATTTTTTCAACCGGAGTATGGACATCGTGGCTCTCTTTAACCCTCAGCCAAGTCTGCCCATAGCAAAATGCAGCTGTTTCGTAACGTTTCCAGCTTTTCTGTGTCTCTAAATCCACTCGAACGGATAGAAAAAGAATAATTAAAATAAAAAGGAGAAGGCTAATTATATGTTCTCCTTTTCTTCTTATTGGAGGTGGAGTTTCGGGACCAAACAGTTCTGGCAGTCTGATTCAGTAACAACAAACTTTTCTTTATTATTTTGTGTAGAGATACGATATGATCTAAAAATCTCGCAGCTCATACGTTGGTATTGTAACAGCACATATGAGCAAAGCAAATGGAAGGTTGCTGAATTAAGCCATATAGGCACTAGGGACTACAAAGTATCTTTTGCGATTTTTTTTTTTTTTTAAATATTGCTATAATTGCAAGTGGACAATCCACTACAATTTTTCATCTACATTTCTATTTGTTAATTTTTCTTTTGAGCTTTTAACTTTCCTTTCATTTCCCGCGATTCATCTTTTAAAATTATTGAAGTCCATTATCTTTTGTAAAAACAGCATAACCAACTCTATAAGACTCATGGGCAGACTTATTCCATAACTATCATTACTGCACTACTTTTTTTTTCTAGCTTTTCTTCATTCTATTCTTCAACCTAGATAGTAATAGGGTGAAACTAATGGATCGACCATTTGCTCATTTGTCCATGGAGTCCAACATTACTGAATCAAACTTCATTCCTTCCCACACTTCATTTTTCTGTCATCTGATCATTTCAAATACCCATACTCTTGAATATTTAATAGGATGGCAAGGTAGAAGCATTACCAATTTAGTAATATACACGTCAATATAAAGATTTTTTTATATTATCAGGTCAAGCGAAAAAATATCTATAAAAAGTAAGCATGTGAGCTGCTATAACAAGTAAAAGCTAATATTTCTAACACTAATGACGATGTATATTGTATAGGTCAAAATCTGACCGTAGTGATCGACCAAGCTAGGACCTCGCCCATATGGTGAAATAAGGAAAAGCACCACGACCAATCCCAGTCAAAATCATCGACAGTGTATGACAAGTAAAGGTGGTATTCGAATAACGCCGAAAAAGGCTGTCATGCGAAAGTACATTGGTCAAAGAACACAGTAAGACTCCAAGAACTATATATAGAAGGAAATTCTCGGAAAAAAGGGGGAGGGACTTTTTCCTTTCTATTTTTTCTCCTATAGTCTCTTCTGGTGAAAGATGTAAACTATTTCTTTTCTTCCCCGGATTAAGGATGAGATTGTAATATCAATAAATTAAGAGTGTTCTATTTTCCAATCATGATCCCTCTATATACTTTTAGATCTGAAGTTAATTATGCTTGGTTAAGATTTACCCTTTTTTTCATCATTGATTGATTCAATCATAAGGCTCGACACTTTTTGGTCGAACAATTTGGCGCCGTCTGTGAGGATTTCTTAGCCAAATTCTTTAGTTTCCTTCAGATCCAAAACCGGTGAAACATGATCACCACCAGGAAGAATGGTAAGTAAACCTCACGTGCTAATCTGGATCATGATGCAACACACAAGCAGAAGTTACAACCAACTTCCCCGAAAATCCCACAGGAGGAGAACAAGCACATCCTGCCCTACTCTAACACCCTCCCCCGCACACCGGCTGGTCCACGAATAAGCTAAGGCGAACCCAACCCACGAGGAGCTAGAGCACAAAAAGAGGGGGAAATAGAGTCAAATACGGCCACCGAGTTTAGAAACCACCATCCCATCAGCCATTTAAACGCCAGGCAGAGTGAGCAACACTATAAGTCTACCCTCGTTCACCAACTCATCGGATCGAGGTAAGGAAAATATCATTGTGGTTCACCTTCTGTTGTTTGCCAAAACAGGGATACAAGCGTCGCGCGGGCAAACAAGTAAAGGAACATCTGAACTAGAGAATGGAAAATTGTCACAAAATAACTGGAATATCGCCTAACTAACACCCCAACTTCTGGAAAATACGCCCCTTAAGTCGTACTCTCTCTCCTTCACCCAGGTGTTGTCCGAATAAGGTTTTTCCGGGGAGGTTTTGATGGAGTCGATGAGGGGGACGTTACCGAAGTTTAAAGTATAATCCATCGCCTCGCATGCCAATGGCACCTCCAGACGGGAAGACGAAAGGACTAGACCGGGAAACTCCAATACACGCATAAAACGAATGTGAGCAAAATAACAACGTACTATACCCTCCGACATCACTCTCTCCGATGCAAACAAAATCAATCAAACTGGGACTCATCCAGGAAACGCAGAGGTTGAGCAAAACCGGGACTCCTCCAGGGGACACCCAAAGTTCTCAAAAAGAAAAACTGGGACACATAACAGGTTAATATTTCGACCAACTCGAAATAACACCTATACGGCCAAGGGTCATCGCCAAAAAAGAAGAGTTTGACCTCGCTCGAACTACAACAGGTTAATATTTCGACCAGCTCGAAATAACACCTCTACGGCTAAGGGCCATCGCCAAAAAAGAAGAGTTCGACCTCGCTCGAACTGAAACGGGTTAATATTTCGTCCAGCTCGAAATAACACCTCTAGAGCCAAGGGTCATTGCCAAAAAAGAAGAGTTCGACCTCGCTCGAACTGCAACGGGTTAATATTTCGACCAACTCGAAATAACACCTCTACGGCCAAAGGCTATCACCAAAAAAGAAGAGTTCGACCTCGCTCGAACTGCAACAGGTTAATATTTCGACCATCTCGAAATAACACCTCTACGGCCAAGGGCCATCGCCAAAAAAGAAGAGTTTGACCTCGTTTGAACTGCAACAGGTTAATATTTCGACTTGCTCGAAATAACACCTCTACGACCAAGGGCCATCGCCAAAAAACGAAGAGTTCGACCTCGCTCGAACTGCAACGGGTTAATATTTTGACCAGCTCGAAATAATACCTCTACGGCCAAGGGCCATCACAAAAAAAAAAAAAGAGTTCGACCTCGCTTGAACTGCAACGGGCTAATATTTCGACTAGCTCGAAATAATACCTCTATGACCATCGCCAAAAAAGAAGAGTTTGACCTCGTTCGAACTACAACGGGTTAATATTTCGACCAGCTCAAAATAATACATCTACGGCCAAGGTCCATCGCCAAAAAAGAAGAGCTTGACCTTGTTCGAATTGCAACGGGTTAATATTTTGACCAGCTCAAAATAACACCTCTACGGCTAAGGGCCATCTCCAAAAATGAAGAGTTCGACCTCATTCGAGCCTAATAATGTCTTTGCAGCTATCGGCCGTCGTCGTGCCTTTTTCCTTCTACTTATTAAAAATTGATTTCGCTACAAACTCCAAGTTCGACCTCGCTCGGATACGTATATAAAAAGATGACTTTGTAGCTATTTATGACGGTTTGATCCCACGCGAACTACTCAAGTCAAGACTAACTTCATCTAAAACAACGAAATTATATCAACTCATTTGAGTCAAAAGCGAATCTGCTTAAAGCAATAAGTCACCAAGTCAATTCCGCCCCAAATAGGCGAATTAAATGAGACTCCATTCGGAGTCACGATGAAGTCCCACTCAGTCTGGTTAAAATTGATTTCCTTGAAAAATCAGGAATCCACCATGCGAAGATCCGAACATTTACGCCAGAGTTGTAAAGCAAAAGGGGAAGATATACAAAAGACATACAACGATGAAAGCTCCTTTATTTAAAACAGTTGTGCAAATAGCCACAGGTTATACACGGCTAAAACCAGTCCAGTACTAAATAAAATAAAATAAAGAAGAAAAAGACAACAACCATAAACAAGAAAAAACAACAAAGATAACTTTTTTACTTGGTGCCATCACCGCCGCCCTCCTCATTGCCGTCTCCAGGAAACTCCCCCTCAGCATCAACATCCTCACCGGCCTCCGGTGTTGCGGGATCATAACCACAGTTAACACGAGCCTCTCGTGCCTTCGCCCGAACTCCTTCATAAGCGGCCTCAGAAATATTGACCGCTTCCCCACAAACTCTTGTATATGTCCCGCTGGGCTTCGGCATGAACCCAGAGTTCGTGCAAATGGTGAGGAACAGCGGCGGAGGTGGATTCAACTTGGGCCAATAATTTTTCCTTTTCGGCATCAAGAATTGCAACCCGATCTCCCAAAGTTAAAGTTTCTTGGTCAATGTAGCCAATACGCTCTTCAAACCTCGCCTCCCTGAGAGTTGTTGTCGCCCTCTCAAACTCTTTTTCAGATTGAAGAACACAGATAGCGTCCTCTAAAGCCGCCGCCTTGGCCGAAGCCGATGCCCAAGCACTCTCGACACTCTCCAACTCGGAGACCTTTCTCTCCAGCTCGGCTAATTTCCCCATCCACTCTTCGCTCAAAGCCTCGACTCTGGTGGCATTAAGGTCCAACTCGGACTGCAACGACCGCACCTTCGCCTGAAGATGCTCACACTCTGTGGCGCCCCTTTGACCAATGCAAGTTCTTCGTCCTTTACACGAAGTTGCTCCTCGAGCTCGCTATTCCTGCGAATAGCCTGCATCAGCTCCTGATCCCTCTTCTCCAGTTCCTCACCAAAAGATCGATCACTGGCATTCGCCCTCAGCCGCTCGTGCATCTCACAGTACTTGTTGCGGTAGCGCTGGTATTTCTCCAACATCCTCAGAAAAATTTTGGCCCGGGTGTCGGCCCTGCGAACACTTTCAATCTCCACCATGTACGTCGAAAAGACGAAAAGAGTTGGTAAAGGCCATCAAAAATAAAAGGAACGCAAAAAGAAAGAAGAAAGACTTACCCTCAGGCCCATAGCAGCCACTCCGTGCATCAAATCGACGTCGTAAACGTCCCGAAAAGCCTCACACTCGGCGGTAGAGCACAAAGGTCAAACAGCGGTACCAAGTCCTCCGTGTCTCCCAGAAGGTTAATCTCCGACGTGATTTCAAGTATATGGGTCGGGCCTCCCACATGAACCACCCTATGAGTAAGGCCTTCCTCGAACATCCTGATATCATCAGGATCAAGATCGGATTCAGATTCGTAGTCATCGACCATGGCACTTTTTCCCCTTTCTGCGGTCGAGGAAGAAACACGACCTGGTCTGGAAGATGAAGGCATGCCCAAAGTAGCAACAGCGGTCTCGGGATTTCGACCCCCCACCGCAATAGTCTGTTGATCAATTATAACAGCGGGAGTCTTTGTCGACGGGTTGGTCACAGTAACCGGCTCTACCTCTACGGACGGGTTAGCATCGTCCCCCATCTCAGACTCCATCGTGGGGATGCCACCTTCTGAACATACCACTACTGAAGGAGCCGTTTCGGACTCCACTCGTCATCTCTTTGACGGTCCTTCTCTATCCTCAGCACGGGAAGATTCCCTCGTTGAGCAAGTAGTAGGGGTCGGGGCCCCAGATTGAGGAACAGTTTCTGTGCATACGGCTACGACCGTAGATTCAACTTGAGCAGCCCTTGTCGTAGGTCGGACATCAAACCTTGGTACGGGCCGAGTAGAATATGTCGGTTGACGAAATGCAAGCGGAGGAGCCCTAGCCCTTCGCACTCTCCCTAATGACGATAAAAGTCGTATAAGCAACAAAGCCAAATTGCAAAGTGGAAAACAAAAATTGCGACAAGACTACTTACCAGTAAGGGGCTTACCTCCATATTTCTCATAGAAGGACGACCATTCGCGAACTCCCGCCGTATGAGGAAGAATGGCATTCACCCATTCACGGATATCGTCAACAGGCGTAGAGGGTAGTCTCGCGGCTGCAAAAGCAAAAACAATTCAATACAACCCAAAGAAGTACGGTCGACTATCATTCCGACAAATAACGAAAAGCATCACGACTAATCCCAGTCAAATCATCGACAGTGTATGACAAGTAAAGGTGGTATTTGAATAACACCGAAAAAGGCCGTCATGCGAAAGTACAATGGTCAAAGAACATAGTAAGACTCCAAGAACTATATATAGAAGGGAATTCTCGGGAAAAAGGGGGCGGGACTTTTTCCTTTCTATTTTTTCTCCTATAGTCTCTTCTGGTGAAAGATGTAAACTATTTCTTTTCTTCCCCGGATCAAGGATGAGATTGTAACATCAATAAATTAAGAGTGTTCTATTTTCCAATCATGATCCATTTATATACTTTTAGATCTGAAGTTAATTATGCTTGGTTAAGATTTACCTTTTTTCTCATCATTAATTGATTCAATCATAAGGTTCAACACTTTTTGGTCGAACATATAAAACTTAAACTCTATCTATAATATTCCCGACATCAAACATACACAGTGATAATCAAATATTCGTAGTCGTGGCGGAGTCACGTTATAGCAAGGGTGTTAACTAACACCCCTTTGTGGAAAAAATATAATGTGTAGATAGGTTCAAAAAGAAATTATATGCATATATATTATATGTTGACTCCCCTTGATTTTTCTTCTATGTTTATATTTATATATCTTGACATCTCTTAATGAAAATCCTGACTCCGCGTACAATACGTAGTTTAAAAAACAAGGACACAGCAGGCGTGGTGCGAGCACTGAGCATGCTGTGCTTCTTGGATTTGCATAAGCTGTTCTAAGACAAGGTAACAATTAGTCAAATAGGTCAGGTGAAATAGAAGTAAAGGATTAAGGATGTTATCCTTGCTGTTCCCAGCAATCTATTACTTGGTCCAACACCCATGTGAGAATTTAATAGAAAAGCAGAAAAAAACAAATTAGTCAATCACCCAAAAATGGGCTGTTCTACACCAATAAACATTGTCAAAACCAGATAAATTGCCACATATTACAGCCAAGTCTTAATTCTTATCCTACCAATTTCATTCACACGTGTACTGCTAAATGATGCAAATAAAATGGACTAATTTAATCGACACGCCGTACTCATTTGATTAATTTGAATTGCTATTATAATAAGACATGTATTTGCCAGATCCAAAGCCACCTGATGCCTAATGTATGCCAGCCTAGAAACCATATACATTAGATTCCTACCAACAAAAGCGACAAATATCAACCTACTTTGGATTCCCATTTCCTGTCCCCAACTTCATTCCTTAAAAACAAAACGCAATTTCTTTGTTAAAGTCTACATTTTGTGTACTCTTTTGGGTTAACGAAGGCAAGTAATCAATAACGATTCATGCAACAATAATAATAATTATAATTATGTTTCAATTTAAGCAAGGTGATGTTGACTTTATAAAGTTTCACTGTCCATAAATTTACTGTGCTAACCATCAACTTAAGGCAATTCTTTATTTTTTTTAATCCATGCTTGAAATTGACAATATGAAAGCCTACAATGCTACATACGGCGTTTGACGGGAACTTTTTTTTTTTGAAAGTTTTACCCAATAATACTCATACTAATGTCACTCATTCAAAAAGAGAATGTTAAAAAACAAGTCAGATTCAAGGGAGGTAGGTCAAAAATCATTACTACATCACCTTATCAATGTACTAAAATATTAACTCTCGTTGGGCACGAGAAATAAGGAATATAATTAATTTCGAATTTAAATTTAAAATAAAATAACCTCACATTTAGTCGGAATAAAGTCATTAATTCCGGGAATAATTATATCAAAATTGTATTGTTATTTTTATCTTTGTGTGAGGATGAAATGACAATCCGAAATAATTAATCCTAGAAAACCTGTTTCCCAATCCTAGTATACTTGATATATACTAGCACATGTAACTTTTTATTACTAGTTTCAAAAATATTTTGATAAATTTACACAAGATACTCAATGTCACACATCCAAAACAGGAATGTTAAAATGAGTGAGATTCATAATGCAAGTTCAAAATCATTATATTACAATTCAATCAATAAATACATCCATAAAGGGGAAGAAAAAGGAACTCAAACGAAACAGTTGTCTTAGCACTGTACACTCAAGAAAGGTAATGTAATAAATAGACAGAAAAGAAAGCCAGCTAAAACTGCTGTCAGTTAGTTAATTAGCAAAAATCAAACTGAAACCCGAAGCAACCCATTTGAGCGTTACGACCCGACCCGTTTCACCATAATTCTTGATCTTGCTGCCTCAATTCTTTCCGAAGCTTCTGAGAAAATGACCGACAAGCATCCATACTTAGATCCATGGCAGCTGCCAACGCCACAAAAGCCGCAGCATCCTCCGCACAGCTCACGTGCTGCACCCCTACTTCCACCTCCGGTTTGCTGCATTTTCCGTCACCTCCCACCGTCGACGACATCACAAACCCTCTGTACAGCAGATGCGCCCATGATCCGGACCCGGGTTGTGACCCGAAGTCCGACCCGGAACCTGACCCGGAACTTAGGTCGAAGCTGCTGTTGGGACTAGTCAACGGGGTCGCTCCGTTGACGATATCTATGCTGATTTTGCCACCCTTTTTTGTGCTGATTGTAGAATTGACTAATGTAATGGCGTCGGTGGCTCCGTCGGGAATGATCTCGAAGCGGTAGCCGAGCTCGCCGTTGCTTTCTCGCCACGCTTCGAGGCGGCCCCATGGCTTCCACGTGTTGTCACCGGGTTGGAGTATGAGCCAGGATCCGGGATTTGACTTGCTGACCCGATCCGAACCTTGTGATGGGACGAATGGAGTCACCATTGATGCTGCTGCTACGGGTGAACCCGATAGATCATGGACTGTAATTGACCATCCTTTTCGTTCTTTTACGGGTGTCTCTTTATCAGAACTAAAACAGCTTGTTGATGTGCTTGGTTCTGATAGTGACGATCTGTACATAATAACAAATTCATATTAGATACCCCTTTTCAATAACCAAAAAATATAAACCCATTCAACAATCGGTAAATATAATCAAGAAATATTAGTTATCCAGGCGGATTGATTGCTTATTTTAAGTTAATGCATATGAACTAATCAATCAAAAACGATAGAGTAAACTATTTAGTATTTTGATATTGTCAACGACTTAGTAAGGTAGCTAATTAGATAAAGACATGGTTTTTTATGAACTAAACTGAATACTAGAGAACCTTATGTACCCTAATTCAAGATCTAAAAGTTGGTCAAAACATGTTGCGTGCAATCAAACGATTATGACAAAATCCAATTATTTTTCTAATTGAAAAGAAAAGGATTAACTAAATAAACCTGGATCTTAAGTTCCGGTCACCGGAGTTTCTGAAACTGAACTTGCAAGTAAAAACCGGTTGCTTGTTTTTGCCATTGACTTGAAAAACTTGTGGACTACACTCAGGTTCTCCATCAAACTGAAAAACAAATCTTGGGTCAGGTTCAGCTCTCACGTTCAAATTCAATTCTGCAGTAGACAACGACCCACCAACAGAAACCCATCCATTCTTAATAACAACTCCTCTGTGCCCAATATTCTCCAAACTCTTCAAATCCAGTGGCACTAAAACACTGCCCAATAGCTTCCCACCGTTGAAACACCCAAAACCCATATTATCCCCATATATTTCAATCTTTAAACTACAGGGTTTTCCTCTACTATTGGATTTGTCAACGAGTTTCACAAGCTCTGACTTACTGAAGTTAAAACAAGCATGGATTCTGCTGTCCAAGATTGCATCTTTTTCTTGAATAAACGCTGGGATTGTTGTACTTTGCGTCAAGAAACCTTTAAGCTTGATTTTACAGTCAAAAGTCGCAGTAGGTGGTGGTTTTGATTCAGCCGANGCGGAATGAGCTGTGGGCACGTACGCATAGAAGGTGCGCCAGCAAGGAGCATCTCTGTTCTCTCTGTCAATTAATCAAGCATTTGGTGTGCCTAAAGGCTCTAAACTTGTCTTTTTTCCAAAGTGCTCTATTTCTTTTCCTAGATTTCTATTGGGTTGTGACCTCTGGGGATTTTTTGATAAGGGCTTCTTTGCATTTTATGTCCCTATGTTATGGGTCTTTTTCATATTACACCCTAATCTTTACTTTTGTATAGTTATTCCACTAATCGTTTGGTTTCACTTAAAAGTAGCAATACCTTGTTTTTGAGCATTTGATCTGGCTTAAACTACAAATTGCCATATAGTGTGCAGTATTTAGAAGCAAAAGTACTATGCTTTGACTTAGTGGTTTGATTTGAAGAAAAGTGAGTTATGCTTTAATTAGCTATATTGGAATTAATTCTTGTGATATTATTTCTTATTGATTATTTGGTATAAGTGATTGATTTGCTTTTTTATTTTGATCCAAAATAAGTGTCCATTTATATAATCAAGAAAGAATTCAATTTGTTTTTACAAAATTATCCTTATGTACATATCCCTAAAAAGTTTTCTTACTCCTTACATTAAATATTTAATTAAGGGTAGTTTAGTCATACTAGGTATTTTTGTATAGAATTTAGTATTTTCTTAATGGGCGTGCCAAAAATAAATTGGTCACTTATTGTGGACCGGATGAAGTATATTATATTAATCCTGAGATTCTCAATTTTACTGTTTTATCCTAGGATTATAATTTCAATCTCTGGCAGGTATAAATTATCCGGTACTATTTTTAATTATGAGATAACTTATCCTAAAATTAGTAATTAAATAAGGGATAAGGGAACTAAATTTTTATCCTAGTATAATTTTTGCTTATCCATCGTAACAAACGACCACTCGGAGGATGGATTTTGTGTAATGTTTCGATTATTGAGGTATTAAGGTGGCATATAGTGTAACACGTGAAATTAAGTAAATTTACATGTTTTTCAACAGAAATATATGAGAATATTTTTCTCCCATTTTTCAAAGCTTTTCCCACGTTTAAGATTCATAAACTTGGTTTCACAAAAGATTGAAAGTTCTAGCACTTTAATATAACCATGAAATGTTTTTGTTCCATCAAATTTGTGTAAAAAATGGAAATGAATATTTGACAAAAAGTTGAGTATTTTGAAACTGTTTTCATACATTCTCGGGAAAAAATTAATACCTTACATTTTGACACATGGTTAAATATTTGGTCTAGATAAACGAAAAATATTATTTTTTAAAACAAGTTTCCTTCTTTCTAACTTTGTACCTCTAGTGTACCTTCATGTTTTATCTATTCACATGCATTTCATCTCATACAAAGATTCATTAACATTTCAAACACTAAAATTAGCTTTATAGTTAATTAATAATTTTACAAGAGAACCAAGAATTTTATAAAGGAAAATCGTAAAGAATAAAAAACATAAAGTGCAGCTAACAAAATGGCACAAAATTTTAGGGATGAATAATGCAAAAGTTTTGGACTCTTTTGAGGGTTTGGTTTTATTAGGAAGAAGATGGAAAGACTTAAGAGGAATTGTAATTGGATTACAACTGGAGAACAGCTGTTGGGAGATTTTCATTTACACCACAAGTCTTCACCAACTTGGACCAATATGGTCCCATCACCCTCTAATTTATTTTTTATTTTTTATTTTTCCTTCAATTTCCAAATGAGAGAAACTTCCCCTAGTTTTTTTTCTTAGGACATCTAATTTACTTCTAGTCTAAATATTAGTCTTTTGTAAATTAAAACTTTCTGTAAATATATAATATTTTAAAAAGAAGAAGTTACGTATCCCTTTTTCTCGTCTACTCCTGCTGTTTCAATTAGTGGAAAGTTTATTAAGATGTTAAAGGGGGAGAATTAATATTGTTATGATTAAGCTGTTAAATATCTGTTTAAAGGGTGTGCAAAATTTTTAAATACAAATAGCATATATCGGAGGGAGTATATAAAAAAATCTCGTTACACTTCGTAAAATGTGATTTATCTTTACATTATGTAGTCTAATTTAAAATATACATATACCCTACAATATTATTCTTCTGAGATGAACTTGTTGAAGTTTGGCAAATTTGTCCCACATCGGTGGGCTCTTGAATTTTGGAGGATTTTCCCCCTATAAAAGAAGGCTTAATGTTTAGGATTTAAACACATAACAGAACTAACATTAGCGTATCACTTCTTTCTCATCTATACCAGTTGTTTCAATTAGTGGAGAGTTTATTAAGATGTTTAAGGGAGAGAATTGATATTGTTATTATTAAATTATTAAATATCTTTAAAAGGTGTGCAAATTTTGTTAAAATACGAATAGTGTGTATATATATATATATATACACACACACACGAGGGAGTATATAAAAAAACTCATTATACTTTGTAAAATTATAGGATATTTCTACGTAATGCAGTCTAGTCTGAAATATACACACTCTACATTATTATTATTCTCAGGTGAACTCGCATTAGTGTATCTTTGAAAATAGAAATTAAAATGAAGGATACTAGAAAAAAAATCTCAATTTATTTAAGGAAATATGTTTCTACTTTTGTCATGTCTTAACTACTTTGACACTAAAGCATTTTAAGAATTTAATTTTCTATTATTGTATAGCAGATATGAAAGATATATGATCATAGGTGGCAGATTGGACAATATATACTCCAAATTGGAATAAGAGATTGGCAATCCTTTTAAAATAAATCTAACAACAAATTTGATATATTTATATGGTATAAAATAATCCAAGAAAAAAAACTTAGTTAGCTAATAGTTCGTTTGGCCAAACTGCAAAAATCAGCTTATTTTGACAAGTATTTTTTTTCAAAAGTACTTTTGGTGAGAAACAGTTTGTGTTTGACTAATTAGTTTGAAAAGCACTTCTGAACAACAATTAGTGTTTGGCCAAGCTTTTAAAAACTGCTTTTAAGTATAATTTTTCTCAAAAGTGCTTTTGGGGAGAATCTACTTTTTTCTGTTTCTCCAAAACTGCTTCTGCTTCTCCTCAAAAATATTTTTTTTCCTTCCAAAAACTTGTCAAATACTTCAATTTTTAGCCAAAAATGCTTTTGAAAAAAAAAAACACACTTTTGCTCGAAGAAGCTTTGCCAAATAGACTATAAAACCAATGGCTCAGCCGCACAGCATTTGCAGTAAGGTGTACGTCAATTAGGACCACTGCTGTTTGTCAAGTGGCAACTTAGAATTGGGACCCTGCCAACCTGCAACAGCCAAACAAGATTAATGCTTGTCTTGTTTTGATAATTTCATCTTCTATTCTAGACCTTACCAAACAAGTCTTATTGGACTTTTGTGGGGTCTGTTTGAGAGAGCTGAATGCTGATTAACAATATTGATAGATTGGATTACTTTTATTTGAATTAAACACTACCAAATTCAATTATAACTAAATTATTATTACCAGATTAATAGTAAGCAAATCAAGAAGTCGTGTTTTGGAGGGTAGTTCGATTATCAAGAGTTTATAAAATGACAATATCATGACTTATGAGTATTCTTGTTGGCTTGTTGCACAATTAAATTTTCATTATTTTCTTTACAGCAGAGTAATAATTAAAACCCAGTTTTTCTATGAGATTGGGTGTAAGAGAGTACATGTTTGTGAAAAATGGTGTGGATAATACTAGCCAAGTAGAACATAATGACACAGTTATTGTGGTTAATTTTGGGGTGCAATCACTTGTGTAATCTGGTGGAGTGAGGTGTATTTTAGTGACAATTGTGGACCGTTTTGGGATGAAGACACATCAAAATTCAATAGACAAGATATATGTGACCAACTATAGGGTCAAAATTAAATTTGGGCTGATTGGGCTTCTGACGTCGACTAAACTAGTGGATCACTTCTTCCCCTTTTCTTCTTATTTTCATTTGGGTTTTTTTTACAAACAAGACAATTTTACCAGAGGCCGGTGACCAAAATGTTCAACGATCAACTCGGCAAGACCATGAAAGTATATATAGACGACATATTGGTCAATTCAAAGAGAAAGGAAAACCGTATCACCCACCTGAGGGAAGCCTTTGACATAATCAGAAGTTGCGGCATGAAATTAAACCCCGAAAAATGTGCTTTCGGCGTGACATCTGAAAATTCCTCGGCTTCTTGGTAACACAACGAGGAATAGAGGTCAACCCCGACCAAATCAAGGCCATAAAAGGAATCCCAGAAAATCTAACTAGCAAAAAGCAAGTGCAAAAGATGACCGGCCGGATAGCCACCCTATCAAGATTCATCTCGCGGTCTTCCGATAGGTGCCATAAATTTTTTGGCATACTCAAAAAGGATAACGGAATCTAATGGAATTCTGAGTGCGTAAACGCCTTAAAAGAGCTAAAGTTGTCTTCGCTACCGTTGCTCGCTAAGGCAGAACCCGGAAAGCGCATCCTCGTCTACCTGGCCGTGTCCGACGTCGCAGTAAGTGCGGTCCTTGTACGAGAAAATAAAGGTACGCAATCTCTAATCTATTACATTAGCAAAACTTTGGTCGACACTGAAATAAAGTACCCCCATCTCGAGAAGTTAGCTCTAGCCCTGGTCGTAGTTTCACGGAAGCTTAGACCTTATTTCCAGTGCCACCCCATCTCGGTGGTCACGACTTTTCCTTTAAGGAGTATCTTGCACAAACCTGAATTCTCGGGCAGGTTGGCAAAGTGGGCCATAGAGCTGAGCGAACACGATATAACCTATCAGCCGCGAACAAAGATAAAGTCGCAAATTCTTGCCGACTTCGTCGCCGATTTCAGTGCGAAGATAATGTCCGAAGTCGAATGGGAAACCACCATTATTTCCACCAAAGTATACGACCAATGGGTTTTGTACACCAATGGCGCTTCTAACGCATCATGATCTGGACTAGGACTCGTGCTCAAGGTCCCAACAGGAGAAATGGTTCGCCAATCCATACGATACCTTAATATGACTAACAACGAGGCCGAGTACGAGGCCGTGATTGCAGGGTTAAAATTAGCACTCAAGTATGGAGAACGGCGAGTCATCCTTCGATGCGACTCGCAACACGTCGTCAATCAGGTCACAGAGACTTTCCAAATTAAGGAGCAACGGTTACAGAAATATGAGGCCAAAATATGCAAACTATTACCCAAGTTCGACGAATGCTAGCTCGATCAAATACCCCGAGCGCAGAACATCAAAGCGGACGGCCTCGCCAAATTGGCAACGACCACTAAAAGCATAACCGGAGAAGGGGACGTGGTCACTCTCCTCCATTCATCACTAGACCAAATTGAGGTATGATCTATAAACCTAACTCTGGACTGGCTCAATAGTATTATCTTATACTTGCAGGATGGAGTGCTCCCACCCGACAAAAAAAAGCCAAGAAACTTCGAATGTAGGCGGCCAGGCACAACGTCGTCAATAACGACTTGTACAAAAGGACATTTGGTGGTCCCCTAACAAAGTGCATAGGACCAAATCAAACACGGATCATCCTCGAAGAAGTACACGAGGGCCACTGCGGAGCTCACACTAGAAACCGAGCTCTCATTAGATGCCTCATACGAGCAGGCTACTATTGGCCCATGATGAAGCCGCCGACTTCGTCAAAAGGTGCGAGCAATGCCAAAGATACGACCCCACGATTCACCAAGCGGGCGAACACCTTCATTCGGTCACCTCGCTTCTGGCCTTTCATTAAATGGGGAATGGACATCGTCGGATATCTCCCGACGGAATGAGGTAATGTACAATTTCTTTTAGTTTTAACTGACTATTTCTCAAAGTGGATAGAAGCAGGTGCGTTCGCGAGCAAGAAGTAATCACGTTCATATGGAGAAACATCATATGCCGCTTCGGCATCACCAAAGAAATCAGCTGCGACAACGGCCCCTAGTTCACTAGAAAAAAGACCGGCGAGTTCTTTAAAAAATGGCACATCAAAAGAATACTCTCCCACGCCATATCATCCCGCAGGCAACGCGCAGGCGGAATCCTCCAACAAAACAATATTAAATATCATGAAAAAAAAACTCGAAAACTCTTAGGGACTTTGGCTAGAAGTGCTGCCAGAAGTGTTATGGGCATATCACACCACACCAAAGACGAGCACAAGGGAAATGCCATACTTACTAGTCTATGGGACTGATGCAATAATACCAGTTAAGGTCGAGGAACCAAACCTAAGACTCAAATGAAAGCGAGCCAAGCAACGACGAGAACAGAAGGCAAGAGCTTGATGAAGCCAAAGAGGGAAGAGACATGGCCTACATAAGAATGATAGCTCAATAACAACAGGCAGAGCGGTACTACAACAAAAAAGCCAAAATCAGGCCACTCAAAGTCGGGGATTACATACTCAAAGCCAAAACGCAGACCAACAAAGATCCACGAGAAGGCAAACTGGGGACCAATTGGGATGGCCCTTACAAAATCACGGCGGCAACAACGAAAGGGTTTTTCCAACTAGAAACAATGGAGGGAAAAGTGCTACCGAACAATTGGAATGTCGCTTACCTCAAATACTTCAATTTATAAAAACAAGACGTCCTCCAAGTCGTACTCTTTTTCCCTTGCCCGAGTTTAGTCCCAATTGGGTTTTCTCGGGAAGGTTTTTTAACGCGGCGACGAAGAGGGCATCTCGAAGTCAAGTATAAGTTAATTGCCTGACCACTCGACAACCTCTCCAGGTCGGCCGATAAAGGGACTAGACAGATTGGGACTTTTCCACTTCATGTATGAACAAAACAAAAACATGTAAAACTTCTCCAATGAATGTACAAACAAAGTGAAGTATGCAAACACATGAGTTTCTCATAATCTTAAAGATTTTAAATTGATTTATTTCCTTCCATTTTACTCATAAAATCCCCAATAATTATCCCTCAAATTATTGTTGTGGTTATTTAGTCATTTAATTTTTATTTTTATGCCAAAATATGATTAAAATATTTTTTATGCATTTTTATAATTGCATTTTGTATTTTTAAGCTAAATTGCATATAATTACAATATTAGCCCTGTTAATGTATAATTACATTTATATGCATAAATTGATCTTCTATATTTTTAAAATATTAAATAAATATTTTAAATTATTTTGGTACACAAAGTTATTTTCTAGGAATTATTTATTATTTATTGTAAATTATATAGGGATAAATTAGCTATTTAAAATATAGTCAGGTTACATTTCAATTTTAGCCTTAATTTTAACCCAACCCCAGCCCATTTTCATATTAAATTACCCGACCCAAACCCTAAAGTCGCCTACCCGACCCAGAACTAATTAAATCATGGTCGTTGATCTGAGAGATCAATGGCCCGTATTAACTCCTTCCTTTTTTAATCCTAAAAGACCCTAACACTATCTCATTCTTCCAAATCTCCCGCCTCTGTATTCTCTCATCTCCTCTCCTCTCTCAGCAACTCAACCTAACCCTAGCCCTTTTAACCGCCGACCTCTCTTCTCCGGTCTTCTACGTTGATCTCTCATCAACTCTTAAGCCTCCAATGGCTCCTCTAATGCCTTGCTTGACTTCTCTAAGGTCTTCAAGGGCCTAGAGCCATGCCGACTTGCGTCTAGGGTTCGTCACTTGTCTCTTCTTGGCTACTTCAGTGTGATTTCGAGCAAAATCATATTGTATTTGTTACGATCCTTGGGATTCTAGACAGGTCCTTTCACCTCTGTATGGATTTCTTCTGAAACCCTAATTTCTTCCTATATCTCCTAGATCTGTACAAATTGGAAATGATTTGAGTTTGTTTCTTTGATGTTTTACACTATCCTTGGAACTTTTTACAAGAACCATGTGATTTCAAGTGTTTTCGTCTTTTTCTAAAATTAGGGTTTTCGGAACTTCTTCTAAAACTTTGTTTAGACTAATTTTTTATGTTTAAACTTCTATTTTCTTTCATATTTTGACTGGTCCTGTGAGTTTACTACTTCTTCAACTCGCCTATGTTGAAATCCCTATTTTTTTTAGGTTTCTTCGTTTGATTTTGTGACTGGCCTGTTCTTGTTTGAGTTTCTGTGACTATCTCGCTTCGAATGTGTTTCTACTGAATTTCTTATGCCTAACCTACATTAGCTCTATGTGCTTCTGTTCGTCTTGACTGGTCAAGACTTGCCTCTTTGCTTGCTATGTTTAGCTACTCCTATCTCACTCTATTTAGATGCTGAAACATTGACTCATGACTCTCTCCTTGATTAACTCTGAGCTCCTTGTTTCTTGGCTTGATTTGAAAAACTTTCCTTTAGACTTTCGATTTTCCTATTTTAACTTGTTTATTTTCTTATTCATGGGAACCCATGTTACTCTCCTTAAATTAGTAATTTCGAATCCTTGATTCCATGATTTACTATATGCTAATTTTCGATTATTTTCATATTCTGTAACTTTATTTTGTTTTCTCACCTTATTTGGTTAACCGAGTATTTTACTGATTCTTTATTAGTTGTTTGCTTAATTGAACCTCTATGTACTTACCCCTAATTGTCTATTCTCTACCTTATACTCTACTTGATTTCTGTCCTTAATCATTTCTGCCTACCACCGTTGGTTGATTACCCCTTAATTAAAGGAATACTTGCATTGATTTGATTTTGATTAGTATTTGGTTCCATAATTACTATGCTACTATGATTCTTGCCTTATTTTTATCTAATTTCGAACTACTATATATACACACTCTCTCATTAACACAAACACGAATATTGGTTCAAAAACTCTCTCTTTCATACTAAAAAGCTTTCTTCTCTCTTTTGTGTCACGTACTACTGTCTAAAGTCAGTCGGCTGCAAGCCAAGATTGACTACTGTTTATTTTCACTTTGTGTTTACTACCCCTTTTACTAGTATGTTCCAATTTTAATTCAAATCCCAAAAACAATATGCTTCTCCTATTACTTTAATTTGTCATATTTCTAATATGCTTTTACCTATGGTTTTGTTGTTCAACCTGCAATTGGCATGTCTACTTCATTGTCTTCTTTACTGTATGCTATATACCCCTTATGATCCCCTTCTAGTATGTCTTAATGTGTCTATGTTTCCCTGATCCTGGCATGCCCCCTTCCTGTGTAAAGTAATTGGCTATCCTAAGCTTCTTGATTCTGTATTAGCTCTACAGTTCATGCTATACTTTAAAAAGCCTTGACCCCCTTTTAAGGAACCCTCTGGTTCTTTACCTATGTGTATCTATGTTTACTATGTGCCCTATGCTTATCCCAAATCCCCATTACCCCCTAAGTGGATGTGTGCACCTGTCTGACTTCATGTATTGAAGTGCTGATGAACTTCTCCTAATTCTGTATTTGGTTTGGTTGATTGTTGATCACTTACCCTTTTTAAATTGTATTATTCAATAACTCCCTATGTGTTTTACAAAACCATTTCAAGCAAATGCCTTTTAATATTGTTTTCCTACTGAAACCTTTCAAACTATGTCAAGCACTATCACCCTACTCCTAAGTCACTAGGTTCTGCCCCCTCCATTGTGTGTACTGCCTTGGGATCCTCTTGAAAACCTCTGAACTCTGGCACATTGGGGTTGACCCTTCCACACTGCACTTATTCAATTTGGTTACCAAGTCTAGGTATGCACACTGCCCGGGGATCCTTGATATCCTTAGGGAACTTTGACGCACCTAGACAATGATATTGTCTATGAAATTGGCATTTGAGGCTATGGGAAATTACTTGGGCCTGCTTCACCCTCCCTATAGTATAACTTCTTCTTCTTCTTTTTTATCTATTTATGTAATTCATTCAAATGGTTTGTAATAACTTGTAAACGAATATTGAGGCAACTAGTGAAAAGGGTGGGTAGTTACATATTTATGGGGTAATACAGGTAGAAACCATGCATATAGGACTTTACATTTTTGCTATGTTTGCCTTACCATGACAGAAATCATGCCTATAGGTCCCAAGTGGTTCCGATAATAGAAATCATGTTTGTAGATCTTAATATCAACTTCACAAGTAGATACCATGCCTATAGGATATGATCCAATCCAACTTCTATTATAATGGATATTATATGTGCTTTCATTTGTTACCATACCTACCAGTTTCTAACATCAGTGTTTAAACACAATTAGATATCATGCCTATAGGTAACAATACCAGAAATTCTGCATATAGATTTAAACCAGTTTAGTTTGAATAAATCAACTTAGTCCACGATTAGTTCACTTTGAAACTAGTTTAATTAGCAGTTTATTTTTCTGAAATGAGTTCTTTCAAAAAACTGTCTTAATCTATCATT